GATTGATCCTCCTAGCTTGGTGACCGTATGGCTAAGTGATCACTAGGATTCGGTCAGTATTCAGGAATAGGCAGTATGAAATTGGTTGCTCACCAGTGATCAACCGGTGTAGACTGTGAGGATAAACAGACAGAAGACACAGATATCGATTATTTGCGATGGTTTTATCATAAGTTAATAGTGAATTTTGGTCGAAAAGATATTACTTATCTTCCTTAATTTTCGTTTAAGACTAGAAAATTCTGCAACTAAACTGACAGTCTTTTACCACTATAGCTTTACCAAGTTGATATTTCAACAATAAACATAAGGTGCAAATCTTCAGATTGGCATAATGTTATTTGCATGGATAATAAGATAATATATTATGTAGATAAACTTGATCAAAAACAGACCTGTCGGCTAACACTCTCGTGCATTCATGGCGCCATAACATCATTACTCGTTCCGTATTGTTGATTACTTCAGGTATTGTGCCAATCATGCCTTGCCAAATACGGCTCAGATCACGTAAATTAAAAATGTAATGAAATTTAGCCGGTGTTGGTAACATTTTATTTTTGGTTGTTTGCCATAGAATTCGTGTCAACGGACGAGTAGTTTAATCGTTTCGGTTACGGTGAATCCTCTTTCAAGACAATAGTGTCCTTCAGCTATGGCACTGAATATTTTATCAATTGACGAATTGCTTGGTAGAGTACAATTGAATATACAGAAATGTCGTTTCAATCTATGCGGTATATCATTACGACCAGAACCTGGGTGAATCATAGCCGCTGAGAATTGGACATCAACAATTGAAGTAAAATCTCCTGGTTTTTCCAGATTATAAAATCCTTTCATTTCAATTAACTGACGTACTATTTCGTTAGTTACCTGTAGTAAAATATTTCAGAGAATGTTCAGCATATTGCTTTATTCACAGGGAATTCAAACAGCCAACCAATATTTCCTAGAAAATACTTACATAAAAGCTAAAAACCAACAAGTCAATCACAGCACGAAAAGAGGACAACATTTCCGTTTAGTAAGCAACACTTCAGTACCATGCTTAGAATGATTGTTTTGTGTTTGGCAAAACTTGCCCTATCAACCTGTATATGTACCATCCACCTAAAATTACCTTGCGTAGACTGATAATCGCCGTATACATTGTATGCATCATTCACTCTTTTGACCTTATCAATAATTTCTCATATTAATGATCAGTTATCAAATTTAGCAGTTTTATTTCCGTAGATTTGACTTTCTTTTGAAAAAACTTACTTTACTACTGAACAACTTGAGTGATTAGAAACTACTCAGGGTGATCTGTAGATTTCGCCAGCCAGATGAGTGATCTAAACACAAGACGGCTCTATGAGCTGAATTTGTTCAGAAATATCGCTGATGAGCTCGGCTGCAAACGAGCAGAACGTCCATCCGGTGTTTACATCACTCTGATCTGGCTGGCAAAATACTACAAATCACCCTGACTGCTTTCTAACTAGTCAAGTTGTTCAGTAGTAGTGTGTTTAGCTATTTCATGACACTTTTATGATCATGACTGAGTAGTTTCCAACGGAAACCCTGTTGACACGAGAGTTGGGCAGTTGAAAATCTACTCAGCTGTGAGAAATGTCAAGGTGGGCAGTGCAATTTGCAAATCATTTGGAAATCGATCATCCTAAATCCCCTAATGTAGACAATTTGTTTGTACTTGGAATTGACTACTTTTTGAGTCTCATTTGTCCAAACTGACTATTTTTATTTGGCTGTTAAATCGCCCTTACTGGTCTTCATCTTTTGATTTCCTTACAAAATCCCGCTGTTGGCATATTTATCAATATCTATAGCAAAATTCAAGTTTCTAGGTTCTCATAAATTCTTTCCACTTCGTTTAGATTATCACCATCTGATCTCAGAATGAAAACAATGACTTTTCCGGATCTTCAGTATCGGGTAAATTTGACTTCAGTACATTTTGCTGTGCATAAACACTTAAACTTCCCTCGCCAGAGGTCGGACCCAGGACCTTCAAGTTCCGTTGCCATTGAACAACTGGGCCAGAATTTAGTGGTCCGTATTTCGTACTTTTGTCACTGCACCATATACCATGACCTCCATCCAACGCCGTAGTTGAGTAACTGTCCTCATGTTAGACTTGATTGGCTCCACTGGTCATGACTTCTCATTGAAACTTTGGGCATCACCTCTCGAAGTTAGTCACCAATGAGCGCTGGATTAATTCTATCTGGAGGTTTGTAGAAATCTACTAATTGATTTTAGGTTGGGAAACATCATAGAATGACATCATTTGGAGGAACTATTGGGAATCTGGGACAGCTGTTTTGTCCTAATATGGAATTCTCCAGCAATGAGTACCCACGACCCCGCTAGGGCTCGAACCCGGAACCTTAAGGTTCCATGACTAGCACGTTGCTGAGTGGTAACATGCTGGTTACGGAACCTTAAGGTCTTAGGTGCTAATCTCTGGTGGAGTCGTGGGTGCTCACTATCGAAGAGTTCCATACTAGGACGAAACAGCTGTTCAGTGCTTCCAGGTTTTCAGAGTCCCTCCAACTGATGTCAGTCCATGATGAATTCCAACCTGAAGTCTAATAATAAATCCCCACAAAGCTATAAATTGAAGGAACATTCTGTCTTTGAATTATCTGAAGCACTAGCTATTAAATAATGTCTTGAAGAATATGATGCATACGTGAATCGAGCAGGTTGTTTGTGATAAAGGTGCCTAAGAACCTGTGAAGTAGCTGCATCTGAATAGTTAAAAAAAACGTGTAGGGATCATATATCGCTGTATAATCTTGACAGCTTTGAATATGGGGTACCTGTATTATTTATATGAAAACTTTTGATTCATAAAAGCAGTTTGAGGGTTTCATTACTTTCAAATCCAAATTCGACAGCTAATCATTCAGCATATTTAGTTCCACATGAAAGTTATAACTACACTGATTTCGGGATAATAAGCATTCCAAAATGACATTTGGGTGTAATCAGATTCAGAAAACGCAGTATAAAAGAGTAAGATTGTATGAATGAGACAGATGATCTAACTGCTTTAATCAAGAATGATCACTAGATCTTATCATGGGCATAACTTTTCAACAATATACTTATCTGACAGCAACCAATACTAGATTATATAACAACATAAACTGAAGGTGACAAAAATAACTAACCTGATCACCCCATTCATTTATTAGTGGCATACTGATATCATCAATGAAAATTGTCATTTTTCGACCAGCCGGTGGACCATATGTACTACCCATTCTTTTATCAACAAAACTTTCAACTGTACGTTGGAATAACAACGGTGTAGTAACACTTGAAAAATTCAAAGTCTTATACATATGTAATTCAGGATTGTGACTGCTTAAATATTTATTCAAGATAACAGTTTTAGCTGTGCCCTAGTATGTACAAAAGAAATAATAGAAATAATATGTAAGCAGTTGTTAAAATGAATTACAATAAATTTGATCATAATTCTCAAAATAGTTGTCATTACATAGGTCTATCCGGTTAACACTTTACTTACTACTGTCATTTAAAGCAGTAGGTGATCCCCTTGATAAATTTAGTCAATGCAGTTTGTGCATGTAGGGAGAAAGTAGAGCATTGAAAGATCCACTTCACCTTTTTTTGACTTGATAGTGGGTAGATTTCGGAGTTATCTGTTGAAATTGTCATCCCTGGAACCAGTACTTCATTTATTGAACTTGTGATATAGAAAAATAGTTTCGCTTAAGGAAGGCAGATTCATATCGTGATTATAAAAGTACTGGAAAGTGCAAGGAGAAGACGAAGATTATTTGAAACATGAGATGTACTAACCCTATACTAAATATAGCGGACAGCCTGATTGCACATGAACTTGTCAGATTATTCACATGAAAACTCAAGAAAGGTTACTCAAGTAAGTAGGAAGGAAGGATAAGAAAATGCATTCTTACAAAAGCGCGTGAAGTAGCCTTAAAAAGGTTTCAAAGGAACAATAATTGAGTGATAATGAAGCCAGACAAAGGATCCGTAAAAGCACTTATGGAGAGAATAGGATTACATAAACTAGAATGTCATACTTAGTAATGAATAGGATAATGCAGCAACCTTTGGTCTCATAATGTAGGTACGAAAAGCTCAGACCCACAGAGATCGTTACACATCAACTTTATGGTTCACTGAAGTATACAAAAACAGACTGCCTATCCGACCAGTTGTGAACATGTTGAATTCACCATATCATACAACCGTGAAATGGTTGGCAGAACTCCTGAAGCCACTCTACAAAGCTGAATTGCACATCTTAAATAGATTCGTTTCAATTTTTTTGATAGGATCAAATGCTCGAGAGAAAACAATAAACTGATGCAATCATGTAGCTTTTCGTCTCTCTTTACGCATTTTCCTCTGCTAAGACCATTAAATTTTTTATGCGGTGAAGTATTCAAATTTGATTTACATATTAACTTTTCTGTTTCTATTCTAAAAGAGAATTTTATGAGATGTGCAATGTGTGTTAACTTTTCTTTAACAAACAGTTTTAAAGACAATGTGACGGTGTGGCCAGGGCGTTACCACTAGGATTTTTTCCTGAACAGACTTGAAAACAGTAGCGTACATCTAGTCTATCGCCCATATAGTGAAAGAATGAGATAACTATGTCTTTTTCTAGATTTCTTATTATTAAATTGATCAAAACTAACAACATATATACTTAAAGTCGACATCGACTGCCCAATAGATTTACCCCTTCAGCTCTTTAGCAAAAGTCATTTGCTCCGATGACACCTGAGAAAAGGAGCTTCATATTATACGTAGCCTACTTGGTAGGAATAAACATGCTACAAAATTCGTGACCAAGTACATAAATGCGATGAGACCTAAACTAGAGATGATTGCAGTCTCTTAAATACCCATTTTTTTCAGACTTGAACTCAAAAGTTACGTTGTTAGCAAGATTATGATACAGTATTTGAGAAGAGCTTTTCAAAGAACATTCAACGTTGCAAAATTATATCCTATTTTCTGAAATGAGCCAATTATAAGTGTACGGTGCAAAGGTGGGCTTTTCGATTCAGCCTGTTCAATGTGCATTTATCAGCCTAACTGCTTCTGAAAAGCTGGTTGCATAGAGCTTATTGCGTGTTATAGAATGTCTGAACACCATCCATTGGGGTTGAGATAAAAACAGATAAAGCCAACAAAAAGCTTAGTGTAAGGATATCTGGTAGAAACTGGTCATAAAAAGAATCACAAGAAAGGCTTTTACAGCTATCTACAGTAAACCATCACCCAGTATAAAAAGCAACAATCTACCAAACAGTGGGTAAACTCAAATAGTTTGCTTAACAGTCAATACATGCTCTCTCTCTTTGTATAAATTTTTTTGAATACTTTTATGCATTCAAAAATAATTTCAACTTACTGTGGACTTATCTAGATAGCATTGACGTCAACTCTCATTCCAAAGGTGTTGTGATTCAGATATCTGCCTTCTTTTTGCCCTTTCTACGATTCCGATTCCTATTTTAAAGAATGACTCAATTGATTGATGACACTCCATAATGAGTACTACATTGAAAATGATCGATCTTTTCTTGAGTTTTCATGTGAATAATCTGACAAGTTCATGTGCAATCAGGCTGTCCGCTATATTTAGTATAGGGTTAGTACATCTCATGTTTCAAATAATCTTCGTCTTCTCCTTGCACTTTCCAGTACTTTTATAATCACGATATGAATCTGCCTTCCTTAAGCGAAACTATTTTTCTATATCACAAGTTCAATAAATGAAGTACTAGTTCCAGGGATGACAATTTCAACAGATAACTCCGAAATCTACCCACTATCAAGTCAAAAGAAGGTGAAGTGGTCCTTCAATGCTCTACTTCCACCTGACATTTACAAACCACTCTGACTAAATTGAGTGACTGTCATACCAAAGCAAAATATTAAACCGCATCATCTGGTTCATCCGGTGGGCTTGATCGCAAAAACGTGAAACGATCTTTTTTTGTCATTTATCCAGTTCCACATAATTTACACAAAGATATATGATTACGACGCACACCGGAGGCTGCATGAAATCAGTGGCATTAAAACTGACGAATTTTTCTATCCTAAGTATATGGGGCCACTTTCCTTACGCTAGCCTACAATAAAACCAATTCGTCTCTAGCGAACACTGGTGTTGGAACTTCACAGTATGACTACACTCTATCCTTTCCCTACCCCATGTGTCACACTTTTAGTATATTCAAATTTTATACTTTACAGGTTTGATAACTATTTTTGAGATAGTAGAGAGTATTTTAGCCCCTCAGGTTGATTATGATAATTGTTTAGTGTTATCTGAGATCTGAGGTTTGTTCTCGAACATTACATCATCAAGTTAGGAGAAGTCATCAGCGTTTACTTCACATAGAAGTGAAGCATTTTTAATTTGCATGAATATTTATGAAGAATATTTGCCGACCTAGCGTGTTATTGACTTGTGGGTAGAGAGTGACCTATCCTGTTTTATGTTGAATACATTCCTCATATATTTTGATATTAAAATTGTTAAGGTTGTAAGCAACAGATAAGCATCTTTCAAATAAAATGAATTGGATTTAGAGCTTTGTGAGGATTTTATTTGTTGACTTCAGGTTGATATTCATCGTGAATTGACATCAGATAGAGAATCTTTGGAAACCTGGGAGCACTGAACAGCTGTTTCGTCCGAGTATGAGATGTCTCAGCAGCGCGCACTCATGACTATGCCCTACAAGGATCGAACCCAGGACCGCACCCAACATCCAAATCAACATTGGACCGGGTATTACTGCGTAACCATCCGAGTTGCCACAGCTCATATCAGTACATCAAGTAAAAAGGCAGTGAAGTGGAAGATGAAAAAAAAGGAAATTCAGCACGTTATCTTTGACCCACTGAGTCGGAATTCAACGTCTATATTCGATACTTCTATCAGTTCACGACGCAGTAACTCGGCAGTTGAATGGCCACGGAACCTAAAGGTCCTGCGTTCGATCCCCGCCAGCGTCATGTATGTGCACTACTGAGAAGTCCTATAATAAGACAAAATAGCTCTCCAGTGCACTCGAGTTTTTAGTGTTTCTCCGATCGATGTCAGTTCATGATGAATGCCAACTTGAAGTGACTTTATTTTATTTGTTTCAATAGTTATTATATCCCATTGAAATTTATGTAGGGAAAGAATTGGAATATTGGCATTGTCTAGTTTCCTATTACTTAATAATTTACTGTGTAACCTTTTACGCCTATTGACAAAACCAAACTCATTATTGTTCCATCTTTAAATTTCAGACTAACTTCATTGAACGCACATGTTGTAATGCTCACTGTTTCAATTCTGTAAATTCGTAATTAAAATATTCCTTGCACCCCGCATGTGAAACTTACACTGATAATTGCAGATAATTAATTTTAGCGATTGAGAAGAATATCACTAAAAATAATTTATGCCCCAAAAAAATTAATTAGGCTTTCCTGCTAAACTTCACTTTTCATTCCATCTGGAGAAAAACATTTAAATTCGAAGTTTATACGAAACATTCTTAACTGTATGAAAATGTGTTTATGAAGACTATCAGAAGACATAATTTTCAATACCACTCACCTGTTCCCCAATTAACAGAACACATTTTGTTGTTTAGAGATTAGATCAATAAGGAATTCAGTGCGCACATTGTCTACATTTGGCACAAGTAATGATGAATACTCCGGTGTATGATCAGTTGGATAGTGAAATTTATCAACTTTTGTATTCCAGTGAATCCATTCACCTTGATCACTAACCAGATAGTTGAATATTGTCTCGTGTGATTCAGGTGGGTATTCAGGAAGATCAAATTTAATCATCTCGTGTTTGCGTAAATAACTCTCGAATTTCACACGATCATCACCTTCAAGAAATGCACCGATACTCCACATTAATGCAAATATATAAATGCGTTCCATATGTTTCGGCGTTATCTAAAAGGAATTATTTTTAGAAAGATAAAAGATTCCATAAGAAGTTTTTGTTGGGTAGATAAGTTAAACTGTGTTAATTAGTTTGCATGCATAAACCAGACTATAAAATATGCCAAGTATTAGTGTGATTTTAAAAACCACGCACAAATCTGTGTACCAAGACACATTTCTGATTTGATAACTGAGGACACTACCTGGACTAAAGTGTTTTCAAATACATATTTCCTAAAGTCTTTGAGTGCTGACTGTCATAGATATTCGTTACAAAGTAACATATACCGTGTCGAAACCACTGGTGACAGGAATCCACGGAGGATTATTTCTTATTACAGTGCACATATCCTCTACTGAAAACTCTGTGAACTATATTTATTTCGGAATCGTTTTTCAAAAAACCTTTTCAGGTAAGCGAAGATCCATAATACAACATTTATAAAAACAGAAAAAGTTGAAATGTTATTAAACAATAAATAGTCAGTCAACCACTAACATCTAGAAGTGGCTTTAAAGAAAATAAAAAAATACTCCATGGGTGCATCGGTCCAAGTTGCCACACTTCACAATAGCATTCGAAGAACAGGAGCATAGAAAAAGAGTGATATTAAAGTAGACAAAGTTATGTGAAAGAATAAACAATCGGATAATTAAGGTTAGTGTAAATATTCAAGTTTTAGAAGACATCAAAGAGTGAATACATCTGCGCCTATGGAAAAAATTTTCAGCCATGTCACAAAAAGTCCTCAACCACTGATTCCTGTCATCTCGGGGACCCCAGACAGAGTTTACAACATGGAAACCATGTTAGGTTAGTGCAGAGTAGTTATGTCCCAAAAAACGTTACGTGGACTTAAGGATTTTATGGTGGAGTAAATAAATCAACACTATCAATTAAATTAAATTGCGGGAAATGCGATTAGCATCATGGTTAAATCTGATTGTACTTCAGTAAATTTCTGCTCTGTTTTACTGTCACATTCCTAACTTGATACTCTTTATGCTTATAGTCTTATACTTGTGATAATTTGTAAATTAAAAATAAACTGTTAATACACCGGTTGCGTTTCGCTTCATACATTTCAAGTACACTTAAGACTCAATGTAGCCATATCGTTGCCCAGTTTGTATTGATTTCGATTAATTCGTTGCTACAAGGTCTCTTACAACTTACACACTTGACTGTACAGTTATGCACTATTTATCTGCCTTAGGAGGTATTTTTGAATCACTAAGTAAGGCGCCTTAGAGTTCGAATTTTGCATTTTCAACAGTCACTGTAAGAACTTCATATCATATTGCCATATTTGAGACTACAGAGTTTGGATACGAATTTCCAGATACGTTTATGAGAAATAAATCAACAATTAGCTGATAAATACTGCTTGCATAAAATAATGTTAGTGATTTATCCATGAATCAAATCACTTCTCGGGACATCTGATCCAACTCATAGTCGTTAAACGAATAAATACAGCTACCTGTACGAAAATTTTCAACCTCAATTCAAAAGATACTTGCCAGCGTGGAAGCTAACTATCGGTTATCAAGGTATTTAGTTCCGACGACAAAAAATTTCATTGTTATTATTTTCCCCTTGCGTACCTTGTGGAAAATAGGGCTTCAGTAGCACGTCTCCAGTCTTTTCAACCTGGCTCCATAACTCCCCACAACCTTTCATTTCTTCCTCACACAATCTCCGCCATGCCACTCTCACCTCGCACACCCAACTCATCGTTTCCCTTTGGCTTTCACTCGACGACATGACATGGCCTGCTGCGTGATGTCCACAATCGGCCTTCTCCGTTTATCCCCAATCAAATCCATCTACACTTTCTTCTGCATATTTGTTGAACGATGAATTCTTGCTTCGTTGCTTCGTTCCCAGAGTTCCTTGCTCTTTCTCACCATCCATCTGATCTTCAGTATCGAGTGAACCAGTGAACACAGGCAGAAGCTGTTGATGACGTATGTCTGTAGTTTATTGGAAATGCTTTTTGTAACGCACCAAGTCTCTCAACCATCACATGGAAGCACTAACTTAACTCAGATTAGTATTGAAAATCCAGATCTTGTTCTTTCTCCTGATTAGAGTAGATCTCCACACTGATTTCAAATTAATCAAGGCCTCTCTTGCTGTCTTTCCCATCCTGGTTTTGACGTCCTCATCTGTTACACCCCGGCCTGTAGTTGAAACGATGCTACCTACCTAGGTGGGTAGGTAGCTAGGTGAAAGAGACTACTTCATTTAGGTTTCTCCGTTAATGGTCATTCATGCTTGTTGATTTTGTCACTGTTGCTTGGGCATCTTCATCACCTCTGTCTTCTCTACGCTCACTTGAACAGTGACCCGTCTTCGCTGCCTCCCTCTTCTTCTGACAACTTGTTAGTTTTGCCTGTACATCGTCGAGTTTAGCGACAACACATTAGACAGAAATCATCATCATCGGTGGCGGCCGCAGCGAAATCCAAATCTCTTTCTCAGGTCTTTTCATCGGTCCAGCCAGCGTATGACCTTCTTCTCACAGCTCCTCACAGTTTGCTGCATGATCCAGTCCAGTCCACCACAATCAAGATCATCGGTGTTGATAGTAGCTGACAGCCTTGTCGTACTCCTTCCTTCCTACCTTCACTTCAATGGTGTCATTCAGCTTCCCATTGTGAATCACTTGACATGTGGCGTCGCCACATAGTTGTTGAATGAGATTGATAGAGGTTTGTGGCACTAAGACAGTAGTGTTGAAGCAGCTGCCTGTCAAAATACTTCTCTGTCGACGCTGTCAAAGGCCTTCTCAAAGTCGATGAAGTTGAGGCAAAAATCCAGTTGACTGCCGTTCTACACTCTGTTCTGTGATGATGCATAGCGTAGCGTTGCAGTTTGACCCCCACATGATTTGTTCTTCCTGAAGTCATCCAGCCAGCCAGCCAGCCAGCCAGCCAGCCAGCCAGCCAGCCAGCCAGCCAGCCAGCCAGCCAGCCAGCCAGCCAGCCAGCCAGCCAGCCAGCCAGCCAGCCAGCCAGCCAGCCAGCCAGCCAGCCAGCCAGCCAGCCAGCCAGCCAGCCAGCCAGCCAGCCAGCCAGCCAGCCAGCCAGCCAGCCAGCCAGCCAGCCAGCCAGCCAGCCAGCCAGCCAGCCAGCCAGCCAGCCAGCAAGCCAGCCAGCCAGCCAGCCAGCCAGCCAGCCTGTTCCTGTCACAATTTCGAATCCAGCGTATCCTTTAGTCTCCACAGGATGATGTGGCATAATATCTTGCTTGGGTGGATAGCTGCATGATTCCGCACCAGTTCTTGCATAGAATTAGGTCTCACTTCTTCGGCAGTTGGACAACATAGCCCTTCTTCCAACCAACCGAAAGCTACCTTTCCTTACCTCCTTCAAAACCTTATGCAGTAGTGGTGTCAGCATATCCGCTGTCGTCTCTGAGTCTGTTCTCAGTACTTCTGGAGGAATTCCATCTGGTCCGGCTGCTTTCCCACACTTCAGTAGCTTTATGCCATTTAGGACCACTGCTTTTGTAGGAGGGCCTATGTTCACTGGTAGTTCTGCCATTGCTGGTCGTATTTCTGGACGCGTTGCAGGTGGTGTTAATGGTGGTCGACTCAAGAGTCTTTTTGAAGTGACCAGCCCATCGTTTCCTTTCTTTCTCCTCTTTGGTAACTAAGTTTCCTTCACTACCTTTCATTGGTTTCGTCTGCGTTGTCCCTTTCCAGATAGTAACTTGGTTATTTGATACAATGTTGTCAGGTCTCTCCTACGTGCAGCCTATTCTGCTTCACTTGCTAATGTGTCGTGGAAGTGTCTTTTATCTTTTCGTGCACTGTTCTTCACTTCTTTGTTCAGTGTTTGCGACGACAACAAACTACCGTATAACTGAGACAGTGTATTTCATAGAGTTAAATATCAAGCAGGAGAATGTGACGTCATTCAAGACTTCCTGGTTGTCAACACTGAGAATTAGTGACGATACACATCAAGACATTAGAGAAAACGAGAAATTCAGCAAAGAAATCTTTATTCGGCAATTCCATTTTCCATAACCGGACAATCATAACTTATAAAATTTTTTTAACTAGATTGGATAGCTACTAGAATTACTGAATTAAACCTAGTAGCAATTTGAATGAATGTTAAAAAATTACAAGTGTGATGCGAGATGAGAACTAGTCATACAAGAGCATAGAAAGTAACATAATTAACCAGAGAAAATTCAAAATTGCATAATGTATAATATTAATTTTCAAGATAAACCATGATCAAGAGTAACATGAAACAAAATGAAGACGAAATTGAGTTGGCAAAATATATCATAACATACAAGAAAAAGTGTTAACAATAAGACAGAGATAGTAGTCGATGTTTTAGCAATTTACTAAGTCCAAAGTAGTAAAAAAGATTGAACAAGTCCCTTTAATGTACATTATTTCAGTTCTTCCATGCATGTAGCAAGAACTTCTGCAGTTCAAACAAAGCGAAAGCGCACCATTTTTGGCAAAATTTTTTCACCTTGTAGATGACTTTGAACGTTGAATCAATTGTGATTCTGTGACCAATATTGACAAAATGTTTAATTATTTCACTTCTGATGGATCCACTTGTACTCTTTTGCAGCGAGGTGTAGTAATGTTCTCTAGTCCGTTTGGAAAGAATGCAAATCGAACTACCTACATACCTGGTTCTACAGGAGCAGGTGAACTGATAAACAAACAAAGAAGTGGTCAGATGAGGAGGCTTATACTTCAGGTTACCAGGAAACATTGGACGACTAGAGAATACTATCCTCAGTGTTGAGCAGAGGGAAGTTTTCTTTAGAGTTTGAAATTATTCTTTACAAGATTTTAGCAGCAGGGTCACCTTTGAAGTCAAGATTCGTGCATAATATATTCTTTGAAACTGAAACGGGTATCTCTCTTTGTGGTTTGGTTCTTGTGTGTTTGTCCACAAATCGTGCTGGATATCCGTTTTCAGCCAGAACCTTTTCAGAAACGTGAGTTCTTCTTCTAAGCTATCAGTGATGCAGATTTGTCGAACACGGTGAGCAAGGGACACGATGTGTTATTTTTCGACTTAAAGGTATCCGACTACAGAAACTCATCAGGTGACCATTCCGTACAGGTTTCCTGTAGATAGACCTCCTCAATGTCTCATCTTCTTGTCTAGTGAGTTCTTCATGCAAAAATAAAATTTTTGATTCGCTTTTTACTTTAATTATGAATACTACAGACAAAAGTGGATACGCATAAACAGATAATGATGCAATTTAATGTACACAGGAAGTAGGAAAAGAGTGATACTGAAAAATACCATTCACTAACGAGTGACCGGATGAAATATTGAATAGTCTTTGGTTTCTTTAACTGATAGAACACTAATTTAGATGATTGATATGAAAGGATTTGACTCTAAATGGGATGGAGTTAGATTGGTAACTGAATTCATTAATATGACCCTTAAATATTGAAACTGTAACTACCAGTGAAAGGTAGTAGTTTAGTAGGTAGGAAGCACACTAAAAAGACTACAACAAAGAACAGAGGAAAAAACATCTAATAGAAATATTTCACGTCAGACAATACTCATCACATAGATAAACTACACATCCAAAAGTTCACATACAATCTGCATGCATACTCACCGATGAATATTCTTTCTCTTCTGGTTTAGGCAGTATTCCAGCCAGTATATCACATACCTGACGAATAACAAAAGCTTCCAAAACACTCATTTTAAAGTTTAGATGCCTAGTTGCGTATTGATAAACATTTTCAAATGATGCATTGAATAACTGTAATAATTGATCAGCTTCACTTTTGCCACGTGATAGTAACCATCCTTGCAGTATTGGTAACCAGTTTAGCGTAGTTGTACTAATGTACACCATACCTATGAAATACAAAATATCAATAGTCTTATGAATCAAATATAAGAAGTGACAGTTTTTCGAACGACAATTGACATTGAGTAACAGTAACAAATAGTGTAAAATTCTTATAGTTTTATTTACACCTCAAATTTAGCTTCCATTAGGTAGAAACTAACGTTTTCTGCTTCTGATAAAGAAAATCAGTTAACTAATCATATTATTCACTGTCTAACTTTTCGCTATCCATAATAGCTAACTAAACAATTTATAATCTATCCTTATGATTGAATTTATTTACTGAGAAATTATTTCAAACTTTATGAGCCCAGTATTTAATAAAGTTAGTGTCACTAAGACTCTGCCAAGCAGTTCACTTTGGTGTTAAGTTTTATAACTTTTAGTATGAAATCAACTTTTATGAATATCAAAGCTAAAAATCTCTCGAATTCACCTGTAATCAGAATCAGTGAATATCAGTTAGCCTGCAGTTTACCAAAAGCCTCAGTCACAGTATAAGTTTTCATTCGCGCTTACATTTTTATGCTTCAATTGATAGAGATATAATACTGAAGACATGAATCTACTCACTTCCTTTACTTTTAGACTGATCAGACATCACTTTAACGTTTATTTTCTCACTCGTTCGGTCCTTTCAGTTAGAACATTGAACCTTTTGCCGTTAGAAGTTTAGTTGATTGTTTGTCATGAGATAACCTCGGAAAGGAGCGAGACAAATATTTTTCATTCAAAAATTTAAAGCTGACTAAGTCAGTGTTTTGTTATTCCTCATAGATACCAATACTAGCTATTAGACGACAGCTAAAAAGTGAAAGTTTCTTTATAAAACACTACAATGATTACCATGCGCATGTTCCTTATAAATTGAGTAGGGCGATCGACTCCACACTTCTTTACCTCTTTATCATATGCACGGGAAAACTTTTATATGCGTTTTACTGCTCTTTAAGTTTACAATTCCTTATCTAACTATCACCTAGAAGCAAATTGTGGCTTTGTTCCTCAACTTTTAATACTTTGTGTTAGTATGGGAAGTATTTAAGAATTTATCTATAATTATTAACATTTCAGCCCTTTCCATTTACACTATGAATCCAAAACAGTCCAAAAACTGTTGATAGTATTCGCTTCAAGACTTCTTGCAGTGATCACATGAACCCCCAAAATTATATCCCATCTTGTCTGTTTTCATGGATTGCTTATTTTCGCCACAGACTTGTCCTATGCATTAAGGTTAATCTTGAATTATGCTGTTAATTTGCCGCTATATTTGTAGGTATGACTTGCCACTAGTTGTTTTTTAACGTTATTCAAGGATCTTTATCAGTCAGTTAAGTGAAATCCTCCATTTTCAGCAATGAAGAATAAACCAGTTACAACGATTCTTAAGTCAGCTGTAGGAAATTCCTTATAGCTATCGATTTGGCTTTTTTGTTATCACCGAGTATTTCATTGATTTCTCACTGAACCTGGTAATTTATTTGCTAACTTCTCTCCGGCGTAACTACTAAAGGATATTTACAATGAACTTTTAACTTTGCAAACCACAATAACTTCCCACCTTTCGAAAGCATTCACTTATGAGCAAGTTCCATAATTAGATAAATGTTCCGTTTGTCACTTATTCACATCTAGAAAACTTTGTCGTCACAGTGTAACTTAGTTTATAGGAATGCAGTAAAAGAGGATCTGCTCAATGTCATTATTTAGGTGAGATAGGACTGGTTGTCACTGATAATTGTTTGGTATCTTCCGAGATTTGAGGTTTGCTCTTTGACGTCAAATCACCAGCCTAGACGACATGGTCACCATTTACGTCACATAGAAGAGAAGCATTTCCAAGTCGTATGAGTTTATGAAGGATAATAGCTAACCCTGAGAGTTACTAGCTTGTGTGTAGAGGTGACTTGTTCTTCATTATTATCAGAGTTTCACTTACTGTTTGATTATTGAATTGCTTGACTAATTTACAAATAAATTTCCATAGCCTGCATATTGGGTCAATGCTTAGGTTCCTTATAACAAATATTTTGCTTCGGCAACCATTTCCATCTGCCAAAGGCTACTAAAGTATATCCAGGAGATTCAATGTCATTTCACAGTGACGATCGAAAATGACAGTTTCTGCCACATCTTTGATGTATGGTAATGCGTTTGGTCTTGTAGGTTGAGGTAATCGTCCTAATGCGTATTTTATTGATCGGCATTTCTTGATGTATCGTGAAACCACTACGTCAGTAAAGCAGAAGCTTTGGGTGGAGTTTTAGTGAGGAGAGGAATGTCTGTTGATGAGTTTGTAAACCTTAATCGACTCGGGTGGCTGAGACACGTGTAATGTATGTCTAATCACTGTCTATCACGTAGTGCAATGAAGTAGGTCAAGGCTGTAATAAGGGCAGGGTTAGCCAGAATAAAAGATGACATCTGTTCAGAAAGACTTTGACTGTTGATCTGAGCCATGTAGAAAAATGTAGAATTCCCGGTTGGGATGCTCGCGACTAAACAAATCAGTGGTAAGAGACTCTAGATTATGTGGCTCCGAATCAGTGTCATCGGAACTTCTTATTCTCCTTCTACGACCTTCTACCACTTTGATTACCTCCATCTTTCATCCCAGTGTCTCCGATCTTAATGTGTTAACATAAGGCGTGACAACTTCGCGGTAATGTCGAGACTCGTTTTTGTATTAACTGACCGACTGACTGATACCCATTGCACTGGAGATAGTTTTTGTGATTCATTAGTTAAGTGGATAACACAACGAAGTTTGAGTTTCAGTGGGAGCGGCCATTACTCACTAGAATGGGAAACACTCAGTTAACAAGTCTTGTATAAGACGAAAGGCGTCTGTTAGATCCCATTTCTAGCCACCAAAAGGCAAATCGCACCAAAACAAAGCTTAAGGTAATATCCAGGCCTTGATTCAAGGGGCTCATATGCTAACAAAAATCGATCGATTCTGGCTAACATAACAATAATCGATGAGAAGGTAAATGAAGTAACAATATTATCGAAGTCATAAGCCGTTCACAGGCTGATTAGGTGAAGGTCAAATGTATCATTGCTTTGCCTCATCATTTCGCTAGGGAACAATAGGTTAGTTGTTTTTTACGGTTAAAATGAAATCGATTCGTGATGAAAGATTGTGGAAAAACTGAAAGTATTCTTATTGTATATGAACGTTAGTTATCTGCGCCAACTTGACTATCATTGTAATCTGCAGGTTTACACACCTTATTCACGATAAGATGAATCATTCACATGCAAGTTTAACGGTCAACATTTGAAGCAGAACTTCAACTGAATAAATTCTCAGTGTCTATATACATTTGGTATATTTGGAAGATTACAAGACTACGTAATGAGACTAATAAATGTAAAATCATCAGTATGATTCCTTATTCGCATGTATAGATTTATTTATGAACTGATGAACACAATATATGGATCGAACCTGATCAACCTTGTTATTATATGACAATAATGTTATCATTATTCAAACTCTGGATAGATAGTGCAGATAGATATCTTTACGTTATATAAATCATTTACTCACCATTTCTTGAAACAGTTGCAGGTGATGCATTGTCAACATTGTCTACCTCAAAAATAATCTTACAACATGGTGCCATTGGAATACGATCACCATTTGCCAATGTTAAAAGTTTACTATCATCCAGAACAGAATTCAAATTCTCAATCCATAGTGCATCAACTGGACCATCTAATACAAGCCATATGTGTTCACCTTTCTTGGCTTTCAATGTTCTTCGCCATAAAGTAGAAAATATACCATCGGTCCAATCATTGGTGGCCACATCTAGGCGTCCAAACATTTGTGAGGATGTAATTGCTTTCGGATTCATACGCATCTCACGATGTGGTTCAAAGCATTGAGTCATTGCCTAGTTTGTAGATAATCAAATGCAAAAATTAATCTTATAAATAGAGCAAAACAATAATTTATACCAAACGTTTTTTGGAAGCTTTTGTTAGCTTTTTGTCGATACAGAGGTTTTTGGTTAAAACTGGAATCCAGCTAGAATTTAGTAGTGTATTCAGTCTAAAAAACTTATCCGTACAATTATTTAGGAGCGACACTTAGGATTCCCTAAATAGCTTAGGTGGGGGACTAGCTAGGACATAGTAGTCAAAACTAAACTCCTTAAATTGAATCGATCCCTGATCACTACATCAAAGAGTCGAAATCCTCGTTGTACAACCAGAAAGAAATCAGATTCTCTGAGATATTTGTGTAATCTAAGAACACCAAGTTACAAAGATATAATTTTGGTGCACACTAATCAAGTTTTGGATTTGAAAATGACTCCATTAATCATTAGGTTCTTTGGCAGTGTCTAACAGTGGAGTGCTGAATAGTATATCATTCTTCAAAACGCTTAGCCTAAGAATTCGCAAAGTCGTGCAAAAGCTTAAAGCCGGACACACACGCAGTTTTTAATCAGTAATTGTTTATGTTTCGCCGGTACTAGGAAAACACTTACTACCAGCTCTAGAAGACCATAAATCAAATAGGAGTGTGTTGTTTTCAAGGCTAAATCTTTCTAACTACTCTTTACCATAAGAAAAAAATAACCTCAACATAAAGTGTTGATCATTCGTAGGAAGAAACGCTACTATTGACACATCCCAATCAAGCAGTAATAAACTTCGTTGTTGAGCCCCAGCTATAGCTTAAGGTCTTGACGTATGGACGATGATTGCTCTCACTTTCAGTGTTTGTTTGTAATACGTTTTACTCCTCTCAATATGCTGGTATTTTAATTTAAAATATTGTCCTGATCAAACCTAAACTAGACTTCTGGACGAAACACCTGAGCCATATACTTTTAAACAAACTCAGATGAATGATGCAAGAGAAATTATGTATGTGTGTGACTGTGCATGACTCCATTTTGGACTGTTTATTTGTTTCACACAGCGATACAGTATTATTTACCGGATGGCATATCAAAGATGATATGAATATGAACGATAAATTCTGTTCAAAACTTCATCCAGTAAATAACACTATTTAAGTATGTAAACTATCAAATAAATAATCTAACATAGGGCAAAACAAGTCTTACATGAAGACAGTTACACAACGGGAGCATTGGATCAAGGTCGCGTTATATCGTGAACTGACAGAAGTAGGAGAACTTAGGTATTAGGTTCCCACCCAGTGGCCCAAGCGTAATGCGCGGGCCCCAGAACCTAAAGGTCATGGATTCGACCCTTGGCGGGCTCGTGTTTGCGCACTACTGAGAAGCCCCATGCTGGGACGAAACAGCTGTCCAGTGCTCCCGGAGATTCAGTAGTTCTGCAACTGACATAATTTCATGATGAATACTAACTTGAGATCAATAAAATAAATTCCTACAAATCTCCAAATTGAATCTAATATGGAGGTGAGATTAAAACAAATATAACTTGTATTACTATTACAGACGTTGTGACTCACCTTCATCAATGTTTGAATACAACAAGATTTACCAGTACCTGATGGACCCAGTGTCATCATACCATGACGAACACGCTGAGTTTCATACAGTTGTATAACTTTGAGAAACCATGGCGGATGACTTATAAGGTGATCTCCCTCTAGAATTTGTCTTATCACTTTCTCAAGTTCTGGATAACCGCCTTTGTCTAAAGAAAGACCTATGTTTAAAAAAGAGTAATATTTGATATCAGTTAAAGATATATAAGGACTAATATATAAGGACGTGATAGTAAATTTCGAATTGTCCATTGTACTATCAAATACATCTGGTGTGAATAATTCTCTACAAACTGATTCCATTTAGTCATATAATTTACTCAAAGTATTATGTAATCCACCAATGGTATTTTAAGAATTCATCCTTGTCATCTATCTCCAGGTTACTTTAGGTTAGTCAAACCAGTCAGAAACAGCTTCATTAACTCGATTTCTGAAAAAAAAATGTAGGACGACACTTGTCTTCCGTGTGTTTTTATTATTTATTGATCAGTCAGTGAAGAAGGATTCCTTTCATTTTTCTCTATTTCTGAGAGTTGATTGAATTTGATTGATATGGTCATCAAGCAAGGATATTACTGTTGGTGGTTGGAAGTAAACGGTAGCAAGTCATGAACCTCTGTTTAAGGCATGTTGGGACTAACAAGCTAGGAGTATCTGCAACTTTGACAAAAACGGTGACTCATCCAAAACTCAAACACATCCTATGCCATTTTGGATCGGGAAACGTTATTATTGTCTTATTTAGTCACCAAATAACGTCCATATCGCTCAGAAAAGTATCTAGGAGTTTCGGCATGCAGAAATTTGCTCCAGTTATTCGAAATTTTTACTCTTACTTTTACGAATATTTCGTACAATACAAGGCTATTCAGCAAAATGATCGAAACAGTTACAGTTTCTTGACCATAGGTACCTTCGTAGCATTGCCTGCATATGGTGGAATCACCGTGTGAGCAATGTTGAGGTCAGACGAAAGTCTCAAGACAAGACAAGGTAGTCGATTGACGTGGTTGGGAACCTCAGTCGACTGGGATGGCTTGAACAAGTACCACACATGCCGAGCCATTGCCTACCTCTATGTCCCATCCTGGAGGAAGTTGAATTAGGATAGTAAAGGGTCCAGGGTGGTCAGACCAAGACCTGGCAGCAGTCGATGAAATCCCTGGCTGTTGGCTTGAGCCGCGTGAGGAGATGTAGACTGGCTGGTTGAGGTCCTCAAGACGAAAGGAATCAGTGGTTGAGAACATTTGGCGATATGACTGAAAATTAGTGACAATGGTGCAGATGTATTCACTTCTTGACATCTTATAGAGCTTGAATATTCATACTATTCCTTATCTTAAGACTGTTTATTCTCTCACACTACTTCATCTACTTTGTTATCACTCTTTTTTTATCCACCTGTTCTTTGTGTACTTCCGTGAAGTGTGGCAACTTGAGCCGATGTACTCCTGTGCAAAGTTCTACGTTGATTTTGAAAGTCAGTCAGCCATTCAGCAAACTATCATGGAAACCTTAGATGAACACTGTTGAAATGCTGTGAATTGCCCATGATTATTAATAAAGTCAACACTTGCAGTCACTTTGAGACAAATCGATTCTTAAGTCCTTGTATATGCAGTAGTTGATAGGATATTAAAACAGTAATCAAAACAATCGAGGTAGGTACACGTAAACATGGAGTCTGTCTAATAACCACTTGCATCTTTTAAGTTAAATGAAGTGCAAGAAACTGATTTGAGGATAGATGTCTCATTTCATACGATAGACTGTGGTACAAAGTAATCCATGGTTGATGACTTGCATCTGATGGCTTTGTTTCTACATCAATCACCGCTGCATAAGAAAAAAATTATTTCCTGTGAATCAAATTCATGAAGAGTTTGTTTATTGAGGAATGAATCAAAATGAATTTTTTTGAAAAATACCAACTCTTATTATTGTGCATAAATACACGATTTAATTTATGATAAATTATTTTCTATACACATACTGAAATGAAAATCATAACTCACTAGGAAATAAATCATCGAGTAGTGATAAAAATAACGGCTCATCTGGTCCAACTAACTTGCTCAAATTCATATCACGTAATACACGCATCACAGTCTCAAATTCTGTGTCATTAGGATTAGCACGTTTTACTGCACCCAATGTACGTAACACAGAGAGTATATTGCGCAAACCAAAATCATAATGAATCTGAATTATGAAAGATAAAACAACGAATTCAGGCAAGAAAAAAAAATACCTATTTTAGATGAAATTCATTTTGAACGAATATTTTATTTTTCACAATGATTTCAGCTAGTAAAATTGTTCACTATAAGACAATCATTTCATTATGCTCCGTGAGTTCTTACTAATAATTTACTTAAAACCCAAGAGAATGAATTTAACCCCCGTAAAATGCATGACATTGCTTCGGATTAGTTTCGTTCTATATTAATCAGGAAAATATCACCTATTTACAACAGGGTGAAATGATGATGCAAGACATAATAGGTAGCTTGAACCGTTAAGAACAAAAGATTAACTAAGTGAAACTTATTCAAATAATTCAATATAGTAGAAAATATTCTCCAGTAAATAGTAGATGGGAGATGAAAATTCAGAGTTGTCGAAAACTTCTTCCTATTTCTATGTCCACTTACAAGTTTCAAACAAAATGAGACAACTTCACCTCCTCCTGAATACTCTGCTAAAGACACACAACTTCTTAAAACGATAAATACTCTATTTATGCGAAAACTGTAAATAGTGAGAGGTAAATTCACCTGTTTACTCAGCTGTTCTTCACACAACTTATACAACGTATAAAATTTTTGTGCTGATATAATATTCTCGATAAAACCACATGATGCAAGTTTAACACGGATAATAATCTGTCTATCTGGTACCATCATAGCAACTGTCCGAAAGTTAATTTTCAAATTTTCTGGTAACTCTTGTCTTCCAGCATAACCAGGATTCTGGAAAGAAAAAGTGAAACAAAATTATCAGTGAACATTTATAATGAATCCGTTTAAATACATGCAAAAATGTACCAACTTCAAAACTATGAAGGATAAAAGTTTTACTGAGGTTACGGAAAGAATACGAACCCTTCTGGACTGACACTAAGAGTATATACTAGTCAGGAAATGCTGAAAAGACTCAGTTACGTAACCAAACCAGCTTAGTTTTCTTAGAAAAGGAATACTTCAAGCGGAAATACGCTAACAAGTCACATTAAGATAAGAAGTGACAAGTGAAGACTAATATATACTTGGAACAGAGGTTGACTTACATAGCCATTAAACGTATTAACCAATGAGGTGATAGACAATTCGTTGATGTAAAGAACACCAGGTTCAATTACTTTACTGGATATCCAATGACTTCAGAAATTCGATCAGTGGATTATGAACGAGATGAATCGCATTTACAATTATTTTTTTCCAGAGAATATTCAAGTTCATTATGTTATGGCATATTCACTCATTCTCCTTACGCATATCTTTGATTAGTTTCAAAACAGTATTTAAAAGCAAGTAAAGTGTCACCCAGTTAGCTTCTTGCTACCAAGTATCACATCTTCTGCATTCCTAACTAGTAATGGATACTATTTGATATTAACAATATTATATCATTACTTTTCTCTTGGGTCCTTGTGAAACATATGGCTTCAGTAGCACGTCTCCAGTCTTTTCAACCTGACTCCATAACTCCCCACAACCTTTCATTTCTTCCTCACACAATCTCCGCCATGCCACTCTCACCTCGCACACCCAACTCATAGTTTCCCCTTTGGCTTTCACTCGACGACATGACATGGCCTGCTGCGTGATGTCCACAATCGGCCTTCTCCGTTTATCCCCAATCAAATCCATCTACACTTTCTTCTGCATATTTGTTGAACGATGAATTCTTGCTTCGTTGCTTCGTTCCCAGAGTTCCTTGCTCTTTCTCACCATCCATCTGATCTTCAGTATCGGGTGAGCCAGTGAGCATAGGCAGAAGCTGTTGATGACGTATGTCTGTAGTTTATTGGAAATGCTTTTTGTGACGCGCCAAGTCTCTCAACCATCACATGGAAGCACTGACTTAACTGAGATTAGTATTGAAAATCCAGATCTTGTTCTTTCTCCTGATTAGAGTAGATCTCCACACTGATTTCAAATTAATCAAGGCCTCTCTTGCTGTCTTTCCCATCCTGGTTTTGACGTCCTCATCTGTTACACCCCGGCCTGTAGTTGAAACGATGCTACCTACCTAGGTGGGTAGGTAGCTAGGTGAAAGAGACTACTTCATTTAGGTTTCTCCCGTTAATGGTCATTCATGCTTGTTGATTTTGTCACTGTTGCTTGGGCATCTTCATCACCTCTGTCTTCTCTACGCTCACTTGAACAATGGCCTGTCTTCACTGCCTCCCTCTTCTTCTGACAACTTGTTAGTTTTCGCCAGTACATCGTCAAGTTTTGCGGCAACACACTAGACAGAAATCATCATCATCGGTGGCGGCCGCAGCGAAATCCAAATCTCTTTCTCAGGTCTTTTCATCGGTCCAGCCAGCGTATGACCTTCTTCTCACAGCTCCTCACAGTTTGCTGCATGATCCAGTCCAGTCCACCACAATCAAGATCATCGGTGTTGATAGCAGCTGGCAGCCTTGTCGTAGCAGCATGATTCCTCACCAGTTCTTGCAAAGAATTAGGTCTCACTTCTTCGGCAGTTGGACAACATAGCCCTTCTTCCAACCAACCGAAAGCTACCTTTCCTTACCTCCTTCAAAACCTTATGCAGTAGTGGTGTCAGCATATCCGCTGTCGTCTCTGAGTCTGTTCTCAGTGCTTCTGGAGGAATTCCATCTGGTCCGGCTGCTTTCCACACTTCAGTAGCTTTATGCCATTTAGGACCACTGCTTTTGTAGGAGGGCCTATGTTCACTGGTAGTTCTGCCATTGCTGGTCGTATTTCTGGACGCGTTGCAGGTGGTGTTAATGGTGGTCGACTCAAGAGTCTTTTTGAAGTGACCAGCCCATCGTTTCCTTTCTTTCTCCTCTTTGGTAACTAAGTTTCCTTCACTACCTTTCATTGGTTTCGTCTGCGTTGTCCCTTTCCAGATAGTAACTTGGTTATTTGATACAATGTTGTCAGGTCTCTCCTACGTGCAGCCTATTCTGCTTCACTTGCCAATGTGTCGTAGAAGTGTGTTTAGTCTTTTCGTGCACTCTTCTTTACTTCTTTGTCCAATGTTTTTATAGGTTCTGTTCAAATCCTGTTTTCGTTGGTCATCCGTGCACTGCACTGGTTCGTCTTCTGCTTCATCATCTTCCTCTCCCTACTCTATCAGCTTCCATGTGTCCGTCGAGTTCCATTCCTTGTCTTGTTTCCTCTTCCTTTCTAATACGATTATTCAGGTTTCCTTCCACATCTCTTTTACAGAGTCCCAGTGTTCTTCCACGCCGGATCCTTCAGGACTGTTGCTTAATGTCTCTCGTTTGATTTTGAAGTTAGGTTTTTTGCACTAGATGGTGAGTGGTGTGAACCTACATCCGCTCCCATTTTTTGATATAATCTTGTGTCCAGTAGGCTGTCTCTACGTTCCTGAGATTGAAATGAAGTCGATCTGATTTTTAGTGTGGCCATCTAGTGAAATTAAATCTATTTCGCCTTGTGAATATCTTTGTTTTTGCACACACTGCCTCGCCTACAATCACCAAATCGTTGAATGCACACAAGTCTGCAAACAGTTTTCCTTTCTCATTCATTTCACCGAGTGCTTCTTGACCTATGATCAGTTCTTTTCCTGTGTTGTCCGCTCCCAGTTCCACATTAAAACATGTCACCCCAACCCACCCCATCGCACCCATTGCATTGGAATGGATTTTGATGTCGCCAACTGGTGTGTGGTCTTGTCCAGTCTTGTCGAGTAGTGATTCCAGCTGTCCACAAAATTCCTCCTTCTTCTCTTCATGTGCATTATTTGTAGGTGCATAGCGTAGCGCAGCATTGTATGATTGTGACTTTCCTTCCTTTTGAATTGAATCTTGCTGTCATGATCCTGATCGTTGAGGAGATTGGTTCGCACTGCATGAGAGAGTGTTTGATGCTTTTGAAGACATCATGATAACCACTGGAAAACTCGGGGTTCTCGTGGTTGTCGTCTTGATGACAATATTGGAATAGATTATTGACCGTCCAGTTGACAGTTTGGAGGGTCCACTTCCATTCCATCTGCTTTCGCAGATTCCAAGCACTTCAATGCCATTCCTTCTCATCTCTTTTGCGATCTGGGCAGTCTTGCCAGCAAGCCTCAAATATGGGATAGAACTAAAAAATCAACAGTATAAAAATCTAGAAACGCCTGCGATAGCGAGTAACTTTAAAGATCACCTTGGAAACTGCTAAATTAACCAATCAAATTTCAGAATTTCGACTGGCAATATGGTTTATCATTGATTAAAGGAACGTAATTGGTTATCTCAGCAGTTGCTAGGGCGGCCCTTAGAGCCATTCCAAGTAACCAAGGCCTATATATATATATATATATATATATATATATATATATAACTGGAACTGGCGGAAGGACGAATATGACAACGGAATTTCGCAAGAAGAATAAGTAATGAAGGAAGAATGATATGATAACTTTGGCAATGCGATAAGATAAAGCATTATCAGGATAGGTTTCGCGTAAGGGCAAACTGCTGTTGACCACAAAACTGGGCAAAATTTGTTATGGCAGGTGCTTCAATGAACCTAAGTATACGTCCCTGACAAAATTATGAAGGCTGTTTTAATATCAATCCTGTAACTTTTATGAATGATGTGTTTTGTAGTGGATGATGATGGTTGCTTGCCACCTGAGTTTATCCGTTTTGGTGATCACATATCTTCTAGTAATTTTCCCTCCATCGCTCCAAAGTTCGAACGCTTAGCATGTGAAGAGAAAGATAACCGTCTATCGTTCTTGGATATAATTTTCAGTTGTAGGAAAGACGGTTCAATAAAACGGTTGATATGCAGGAAACCTACTTGAAAATATCAGTACGTAATTTTCCATAACTTTTGTTCTACCCAATAAGAAGCAAGGTTTAGTAATGTGGCTATTCAAAAGGATCCAGCCTATCTGTACGTTAGACTCAATGGATGATAAAATCAAAATACAAACTGAAACATTAGTTGAAAATGGATATCCATTGAAGTCCATAAACTGAAGCAAAAATCAGCCATCGTTGAAACCCAGACTGTACTGTGTTCGGAAGGAACGCGTGTATATCGCGCTACCATGCAGAGGGGAATCTTGCAGAGTAATTCTGAAACGAAGGCCAACGTCTGTCATTAGCAAAACATACTAAGCAGCTAGACTTGTCGTACTTGAGAGGACAAACATAAGTTGGGACGTAGACCTTAAAACTTTATAAGCGATAGCGTCACATCTCACTGTGTTTATCAGTTTACATGTGTTTGTGGACACATACATAGGGAGGGCTAATTGAGATATGCACTTCAGGGTGGGGGAGTATTTAACGATCACATGATATGAAAATGGACAATAAATTATGTTCGAAACGTTATCCAGTAAACGATGCTGTTTCATTGTGACATTTAACATAAACAGACTAAAATGGAATTACAATCTACCACAGTGCCAGGTTCTACTCCTATATTAATAAAGCATTTACCAAGATGGCTACAATAGCAGCTGGACTCACAAACATCGATAAGCGCAGGTGGAAGGCAATCATCATCCACTAAAAAACACATCACTCATAAAGGTCGGAGGACTGATACCAAAACAGCCTTCACAATTTTGTGTAGAAACTGTTGGAGGCATACTTGGGTTTGTTGATGCCCTAGCTATACACAAATTTAAGCCCCGTTTTGTGGTCAACAGCAGTTTGTCCTTATGCGAAACCTATCTTGGTAATCCTCATCTTATCATATTACCAAGGTTGTCTTCGAATCATGTCATTCTTGCTTCATAACTTCTCTTCTTCTTGAATTCTTTTGTCATATTTATCCTTCCCATCACTTCTAGTTTTCATTTAAAATCCCTTAACAAGTAAATGTGTGGTCAAATTGTTCAAAATGTATAGCGGAAATATATAACATTTTTCAGATAATCTATGTCTTTTAATTACGTTATCCGAATTCACAAAAGGAACTAATTGCTTATACATCTGGCTAACTGTGATCGATTTCCAAACGTATCACGAAACGTCTTCAAGCATTTATTCCTGTCACCTCAAGAACCCCAGAAAGAAACCTACACCAACGAACATAGCTCGGACTAACAATCAGGGACTTTATGAATTACTGCCATATTTTAGTATGATAATCTTTGACTTTGTTCCAACGTAAGCCTACTTAGGTTAACGTTGTATGCCATCGTTGATAGTGGCATCGCATGCGCAACACATGTGCAACCCTCCCGAGTCGCTATAGGTTTACAACCTCGTCAACTATTTTGCTGTCTGTGCTTAACCTTAACATTGTTCAAATAGGTGGTCCCGTCATACTTGAGTAACACTATGAATATGTCTATAGACGAAACCTGTAGGCTTCCAATGTCTACTTTCAATGACAATATATCATGTGTACAACAAGAACAGAGTATATTACTGAGCAGTATACTCTTTCTTTGATATTGAGTAGGATTCCTCACCGGTTCCATAAACAAAATGAGTTAGCAGATTCCAAATAACCATTTATTATCTAATAATAGTTTGACTGCATTTAAAAATAAATTATCTGTTCAGATGAGCATGTTTCATCTTTACCATAAAGAAACAAAAATAGAATCCGGGAGATCTTCGTCTACAAGGATTTATCTGCAGCACTGAAATTAAATGTAATAGAGGGTATTCATCACATGTATACATGCTGTTCATGTCACATCACTAGTCTGAATGTCCATTTCATGCACTTCCGCTACGATACCACTTCTTTTGTTGCATCCTTCCATAAATTTCTACTAAAAGGATAGATTCAGATTCCTGATGGTCTAGGAATGTTAACTACTGAAGAAAAAATGAACATACATTTATTTTTAAAGTTCATAGGTGAAAGGTATGCAATTTCAAGTAATTTGTTGTAAGAACAGTTAAATTTTAAAATGCAATTCATACCATAGTTAGAAATATTCCAAACTCTGGATTCATATCAATTGTTTCTCCGTCTGTAAACACAAACTGAGACTTCCGTTCCTTTTTACATGTTAATAAAATAGCAATCTGCTGGGCTGCCACAGACAATACAGGTAATTCAATACGATTGAATTCATCAAAACATCCCCAAGAACCAGATTGTGCTAGACCTTTAAATATACGTCCTAATCCACGGAAATCCATTTGATCAGAACAATTTGACACAATAACATACTTTCCCAAACATCTGCCCATATCTTTAACCGTTTCAGTTTTGCCAGTTCCTGCTGGTCCAGCTGGTGAACCACCCATTGACATACCGATTGCTTGTGCAAGAGTAATATAACATCTATAAATTGTGATAGATTATAAGTAGGAAGGACAGTTAACACGTACGTGAACTTATTAATTAACAAGTATATAAATTAAGGAAACCGAAAATTTACTACAGGCTTCAGTTTCTGGGTGCGCTATCTAAGACAAATGATTTGCTTATTGAATACGTGAAATCCATCATGTTGTTTTTGCTTTCCAAGGTGTGGAAGATCTACAAGTAGGTCTGCAAATATCTGCCACCATATTAGAAAAACACTTTTAAATCTGTCCTAGTTGTGTTATAATTTCTGAGCTGGGTGGTTTATTCGTGAATCTTCCGAACAACATTATCAGCAGTAACTTCAATCAGGAGTGAGATATCAGTATTTGCCCGTGAATAATTCAGTAACTTGCCCTGATGATGGGATCTGTAATTGGTTGTTGTTTCACTGACTGAATGGATTTTTCTATTGGCTGTTTCGCTGCGTGACCTTTCTGTTGTTAACCATTTTTCGTGTTATTTGATAGAATGGGTCTATGCCTGACTGACCTGAATGCCAAACTTCTAGGAATTCTTTAATATATTCTTTGTGTTCCCTTTGTTCAAGGTTTCAACATTTTCAAAATTGAATTCATGTCTATAGTTATCCACGTACACTGAAATGAGAGACGAAGCCTTGTGGCGCTTAGCAGCCAACTGCTGTTAACGTAAACAAAGGCAAAGAGGGAGACCATTTTGTTCAGTGTAGTGCTGGTCAGAATTGTTGCAGTTGATTTTTTGAATGATATTTAGTTTGTGTCCTTTGGTTGTTACGTTGTTTGATCAGCATAATGTGATCCCATTAATGTTGTCGTCATCTCTGATATTTTCTTTATGCATGTTAGGATGACCCGTTTGTTAATTTCCATGGATAACTTTGCAATTGACGATCAACTGGATAGACATCTGATGAAATTCCGTGGGAAACCGCTCTGGTTTAAGACAGATATCGTGTAATTTTTGTTGTTTCTCCGTAGTATTTAATTGTAGTGTCTTCTCGCTCTTTTGAATAAGGTCTGTATGCAATTATTTTGTACGTTTCTGTTACAGTTGATAAGAATTTAATAAGTGTGGGTTGGTTTTTCATACACTTGAGTTTTCAATTTTCCGGTTTTGGCTCAACTGACTAAAATATTCAGTATTGGTATATGGTTGTTATTCTCCTCCATTATGAATACAATGTCGTTGAAAACGTTGTTGATCAAACTGTAAGTGTTTTGTAATTCATCTTTTTTAATGAGAACAAAATTATCGTTCATGTAGTAGATCCAAAGTTTCGGTTTGATCACGAGTAAAAGTATGGCTGCATGTCTCTGCACTACTGCTTTTGCAGTTAACCTAGATACTAGTGATCCCATTGTAGTTTGTTTCACCTTTCTATATATTTTACCATTAAAATGAAAGTATAGTGTTAGAAAAAGATCAGTGAGTTCCATAACACATTAATACTGAAGCTTTGTGTTTCCTTAAAGCCTTATGTCTTCGGTGTGGAGGAGCGACATAGTATTTTTACCCACTTGTGTTTCAACTAGTGTGCCTAATGCTGTGACTTTAAGGACACTATAAATTCACCTATTTCCACGTTAATGCTTTTGATCCTTTCCAAAAATCCTGTCTGTAATTTTATGAAATATATGCATGACTCCAGAAAAGAATTTAGTTTCCTCGAGAGCTCTCTGGATAGATAATAGATTGGGGCCCCCGGGAGGTGAGACATTTGGTCATAGAGATGTCTGGCTCTTGTGGTTTTGATCTACTGGAAAACCGAAGAAGAACAGGTACATTCAATTTCATTCGCCATTTGTCATGTGTTTTATTGTTTCTCCGGCTTTGAATAGCTTGGTTGGGTTTTGTTAGCTGTCCAACTGTTGGATAGGGTTAGTTGCTGAGTAAATCCTCTGCCTTCTTGATGCGATCTTCTTTGTGCATGACTACAGTGGCGCACTTTTGTCTGCCAAGAGCATAACCTTGTTTGTTCTATAGTACAATTTTTCGAATGCGTTCTGTTCCTCAGTGGTCGGCAGAGTGTAATGTTTCTTATATCTGGTCAGTGGTACGATTGTTTGCTGTATTTCTTGCTCAAGGTCCTCACTTAACCACAATGTTTTCAGCGATAGTTCTAATGCAGCAAAAAAAAAATCTGATGTAGAGGCATCCCTTGTACTATAACTCAGTCCTGTCTGAAGAAGTTCTTCCATTTCGTCAGTGGTTGTTTTGGTAAGTTGGCAACAAAGGTGTTTGTTTCCTCTGTTGTAGATCCTTCTGAAATTTTGATAAGCTTTTTTTTCCCGAGACTTCACCTTCATTTTTCTGTGTGTCACTTGCTTGTTCTTTCAGCTGATATCCAGAAAAGGCAGCGTTACTAAGATCATCCACCTGAGTTACAAATACTCTCTATTTTAATTTTGTGTTTAACTATTTAATGTCAACACATTTAACAGTCTGCTTGTAAATCGGACAATGCAATATTAAAGTCCCTTATATACGATGATACCCAACCAACAACAAGCACCAGTCGCCTTCAACGGGAGAAATCTAAAGGAAGTAGTCTCTTTCACCTAGCTACCTACCCACCTAGGTAGGTAGCATCGTTTCAACTACAGGCCGGGGTGTAACAGATGAAGACGTCAAAACCAGGATGGGAAAGACAGCAAGAGAGGCCTTGATTAATTTGAAATCAGTGTGGAGATCTACTCTAATCAGGAGAAAGAACAAGATCTGGATTTTCAATACTAATCTCAGTTAAGTCAGTGCTTCCATGTGATGGTTGAGAGACTTGGCGCGTCACAAAAAGCATTCCCAATAAACTACAGACATACGTCATCAACAGCTTCTGCCTATGCTCACTGGCTCACTCGATACTGAAGATCATATGGATGGTGAGAAAGAGCAAGGAACTCTGGGAACGAAGCAACGAAGCAAGAATTCATCGTTCAACAAATATGCAGAAGAAAGTGTAGATGGATTTGATTGGGGATAAACGGAGAAGGCCGATTGTGGACATCACGCACCAGGCCATGTCATGTCGTCGAGTGAAAGCCAAAGGGAAACGATGAGTTGGGTGTGCGAGGTGAGAGTGGCATGGCGGAGATTGTGTGAGAAAGAAGTGAAAGCTTTTAAGCAGTCGTGGAGTCAGGTTGAAAAGACCGGAGGGGATATAGTGCAATGGAGACGTCCTACGTTCCGAAAGGAACCCAAGGGACAAATAACAATAATATACGATGATAAACTAATTTTGAAGGATTTTTCAGAAAAGTTATTTTAAGACTCAGCCAACAGCAAACTCTTGACACAGGTTTCAAGCTTATTGGCATTCACCAGTAAGCTATCGCTCAAAAACTTGCAGAACATGCATGTTGCCTTGGAAATTCGAATCTACATTAGTTATTGTTAGAGTTAGAGAAGTTACTACTGAGAAATTTAGGTCACATACCGGCCATCAAATGGTAACTCATAGACAAATCAAAGCTCATTCATGAAGTGGTTGAAAATAAAGATGTACATTCGCAGCATGTATCATTTCTTGTGATCTTTATATCTCTTCAAAGGATATCAATTTGGTAGAATGTCAACTTCAAAGTTAGAGAATATAGTGTGTAGAGCCAAGGCTGAGATAGTTTCAAGCTTCTCGAAGTCTAGTAGATTATACTATGGTTCGAAACAGACGCCATGTTTTTCTACTTTGATTCAATAAGAATTTTCCCTTAGGTTTTTGGAGTTACAATCTGTACATTTTATTTCATACACGTAAGTAGAATTAAAAGTTAATTTATAGGACGATTGCATTAATGAAATTTATTCATTCATAAACTATTCAAAGAAACGAAGCCTTCAGAGAAGCGAAATATGGGCGGAAATACACTGTGAACTTCTGTTCATTTAGTTGACTATGTGTTTAATAACTGGATGTAACAGGTAGAAAGTCTTCGCCTTAAGCTTCGCGTTTTTGCTCACTGAATAACAAGGTGCATTTGCAAACACAAGAAGGTTGATTTTCTTTTAAAGTTTTTAACTCGTACCCAACACTGTTGCTGTCAGAGACGTTGCCACTACATTATTCAGACTGCAACTGAACTCCTGTAAAACTGAACGATGTATATTGATTGGTAACGGAACAAGTCTCGATAAGTAAATAATCAACGTTCAGAGCTTTTTATCGTTTGCCTTTAACTATCGAAAATCAATGAAATTAATTGCACAGCTTGAACACCACATTACAAAATGATCGACAACACTTAGGAGTAGACAAAACGACAGTGATTATTCTTCAGTGACCAACAGTATGACTTAAATTATGGAAACAACAGATTTCAGGTATAATTACAATCCAAAAATTGAAGAGCATTAATCCAGAATATGATATAACTGCCTGCTCAAGTATCAAATACAGCCTTATGTTCCTCAAAAACTGAAGAAAAGCAGAGCGGATATCATTTATTGAAACTAGTTATGCACTCTATCATTGAATTTGACCAAAACTGTTAAAATCTGGATGCTTCCTTAAAAATTTAACTCAGATTACAATAAATCCTTCAACAATATTACGATAAAAATTTATAGGAGATAATTTCCGTATATATATATTTTTACGATTTCAGACAATAAAAATCCCCACCTCATATACTGAAAGTCAACTGTAAACGAAGAATTTTTTTTCAATAACTTCTCATCACGTTCTACGATCATACAATCAATTTCCTTAACAGATATCAATAGCCAGAATTTACGGTGAATGCATTTAAGAATAGGTATGGAATTATAGTTTAAATTTGATGTATTGACGTACTTGTTATTCTCCGTTGTTTTGTTGGATCGCATTGTTCGACCTCTATTGGCATATGAGCTCCTATGCAGATACCTCGATATTGCCTGAATGTTAATTATGATAATTTGGTTGGTTGTGGCTAGCAGAAGAATCCATATGTCAATAGAGGTCGAACAATTCGATCCAACCAAACAACGGAGAATAACAAGTATGTCAATAAATAGTAATAACTATTACCCGTTGTACAAGAAGTAGCTATCGTCCCTCAGTGGCATAGTAGACAACGCCTTGGCGTTCGAAGCGGCGCATACGGGGTTTGAGTCTCAGTCGGAAAAATATCACTGAGGTGCAGGTACATTCCGCTGACGAGTCCTAAATAGGACGAAGCGCGTCTTGCATTCTTCTGCTATCCACAACCAACTAAAATCTGATCCTTTAAGATTGTGGATGATAGTGATATTTATATATGTATGTCAATAATTGTGATAAGTTGAGTGTAAACTTTGTCAATCGATTAGTGACCAGATACATGGGGAAGGAAAATTATTCTTAAAGTTCAAGGTTGGTTTATATCGAGTGAGTGATTAGTACAAAGAATGACATGAGTTTTCTATAAGGGCAGAAATAGAGTGAGTATGTCATTATAAGATGGTTAACACGTGAAACGACTAAGATAATGAGCGACCACCGAGTTTCCGGAACGATTCTCCAGTGCTCGCTAGTTCGAATCCGGCAGAGGTCCAAATTTTCATTTCACCTTCAATCATCATTCAACATAAATACTCTCATTATCTTAGTCGTATAAATACTAGTCTGCCAAACTACGGCTATCTCAGATAGTCAAATGATAATGAGAGCAGTAATAGCGTGAAGAAATGTTAACAGGAATTTTAAGGGTTTACTTATAATAGGACAGGAGGAAGGTCTGGTTAAGATTTATAGCAATAATAACAATAATGATAATTTAGTTTTTTAATTTTAAAAGCAAGACAAGAAGAGAGCGGAGAAAGATAAAGAAAGAAACAAAAGGGTTGATGGAATATTGTTTAGTCAATGGAAGGCCAAGAAAGGAGTAGAACTTGGACGTGTTCTTTTTGAATACAAGGTTCAGGCTTTGTTGATCTTACAGCGATAGCTTCCACTATAGGGAGAATGCGTAAATGAATGGCACATCTACTGGCATGCTTTGTAAAAGGTGATAACTTATCCATTAGAAGTTCTATACCACCAAAACTTTCAGTGTGATATACCGCGTTCCGAAGGCTCTATCATGTCCCACTCGACCCTTTTGTTTCTTTCTTTATCTTTCTCCGCTCTCTTCTTGTCTTGCTTTTTAAAATTAAAAACTAAATTATCATTATTGTTATTATTGCTATAAATCTTAACCAGACCTTCCTCCTGTCCTATTATAAGTAAACCCTTAAAATTCCTGTTAACATTTCTTCACGCTATTACTGCTCTCATTATCATTTGACTATCTGAGATAGCCGTAGTTTGGCAGACTAGTATTTATACGACTAAGATAATGAGAGTATTTATGTTGAATGATGATTGAAGGTGAAATGAAAATTTGGACCTCTGCCGGATTCGAACTAGCGAGCACTGGAGAATCGTTCCGGAAACTCGGTGGTCGCTCATTATCTTAGTCGTTTCACGTGTTAACCATCTTATAATGACATACTCACTCTATTTCTGCCCTTATAGAAAACTCATGTCATTCTTTGTACTAATCACTCACTCGATATAAACCAACCTTGAACTTTAAGAATAATTTTCCTTCCCCATGTATCTGGTCACTAATCGATTGACAAAGTTTACACTCAACTTATCACAATTATTGACATACATATATAAATATCACTATCATCCACAATCTTAAAGGATCAGATTTTAGTTGGTTGTGGATAGCAGAAGAATGCAAGACGCGCTTCGTCCTATTTAGGACTCGTCAGCGGAATGTACCTGCACCTCAGTGATATTTTTCCGACTGAGACTCAAACCCCGTATGCGCCGCTTCGAACGCCAAGGCGTTGTCTACTATGCCACTGAGGGACGATAGCTACTTCTTGTACAACGGGTAATAGTTATTACTATTTATTGACATACTTGTTATTCTCCGTTGTTTGGTTGGATCGAATTGTTCGACCTCTATTGACATATGGATTCTTCTGCTAGCCACAACCAACCAAATTATCATAATTAACATTCAGGCAATATCGAGGTATCTGCATAGGAGCTCATATGCCAATAGAGGTCGAACAATGCGATCCAACAAAACAACGGAGAATAACAAGTACGTCAATACATCAAATTTAAACTATAATTCCATACCTATTCTTAAATGCATTCACCGTAAATTCTGGCTATTGATATCTGTTAAGGAAATTGATTGTATGATCGTAGAACGTGATGAGAAGTTATTGAAAAAAAAATTCTTCGTTTACAGTTGACTTTTAAAACGTATTTTGTCTATAGGTATAATTCGTGGCCGGATTCGAACCAGCAACCACTGAGTAGCTAGTTCGAATCAGGCCGTGGTAGAGATTTTCATCTCACGTTTAATCATCACCCAGTATAAATATTAATCTGCCAAACTACGGCTATCTCAGATATTCAAATGACTATAGGTATAATAGCTTTATTGAAATCATACCTATCTGTGAGTGGTGTGACAACCAGTCGTTCTGTGCATCCAATAAATTCATCTTGATAGATGAAATTCACATCAGTGATTGAAATTAGACAGACGTCTGAATCTTCTAAATAGTAGAAACGTGTTTGCTTAAGCCAGTCAAAATCTGTTGGTGATTTAATGCGATCTTTAACCTGTGGAGAAAGAGATAGAGCAGACAGTAATACATGTATTCATCAGCGAGTAATGAATAAGACATTGAGAACAAAACTACTGAACACTAATAATGGTAAAGTTATTCAGATAAATAAATTTAAGCATGGAATAGTCATATCGTTTTTTAACATTCTAACTGTTAGAGAATGATAATGCCCAAAATACTAATTCAACCATGAATTACTAAAAATTCTTCAAACTATTTTGTAGAGAATACAGGTTACTTTATTACCACTTATCGTCGAGTGGTTGTCCACTCTAATGAACAATGTTGTCAAAGATTCCTCCTTTCCAAGCTATACGTTGAAAGCATGAAGACATTAGGCTTTAATAAAAAGGTATGGAACAACTTCAATAGAACAAATGCTTTTGATAACTTGCATATCGCCCGAATTACAATCTCTCCATTTCTCGAAGGTGAACAAATTGATATTACCATTGAAAATTAAATTATCTTATCTCAACCATATTATCTTCAGTAAAGATCTTCAGAATATTTACAAGAATCTCTCTCATATTGAAGTATTACTTCTTTTTCAGAGATAGGGTGCTTATTCATGAAACTTATCTAGTGACCAACATATGCAAACAAATCCCTAAGAATTTTACTTTTATTGATTTCATTTTACTTCTGATGATGGTTTTTTGTCTGAGCTACAAAATCTTCGCATCATTTCAAAATCTTTTGAGAGCAAAGCGCTTCTCTCTGCTTGGAAATCGGAGAACTTCATCAGTCACAGAGCTTTCATTCTAGAGCAGTTTCCCTTTGTACACGAATGTTTACGGCGGAACATCTTGTTAAAAAGTGTTAGATACAGATGTGACAAAATATCAAAGTTCACTTAACACCAAACCAATATCATCCTCATCCTCAGCTGCAAATCTTCTGCATTTCATTCTACCTCTTTTTGAACGAAGACTGAGGGAGATTTATTTCCTCAATAATTCATAGCGGTTACATTTTTAAGTACTATCAACATAGGAGTAATTCCATTTTAGTTTACTGGCTAGATATATCACAGACTTGAACAGCATTAGTCACTGGATAACATTCTGCATCAAGGTGATGTGAATGTGAACAATAAATTGTGTCCAGAAAATAATGCTATTCCACTATGTGATACATCCAGTAAACAAGCTAAAAGGAAATGTTTAAGTGTAATGTTTACTGTAGCAGAATGTGAGTATCAACCACTTTATTAAGTTTGGACGGCCTGTCATGAATGAATTAGTAATAGAAAGGATGAAAAAACTGCAGAAAATATCACAGTACAAGCAGGTAGATAAACAATTTGTAATTTATACATGGCGATCAACCAGACAGTGTACTGTAGTAATTTGGTTGGTTGTGGCTAGCAGAAGAATCCAGATCGAACAATTCGATCCAACAAAACAACGGAGAATAAGAAGTATGTCCATCAGTGTACTGTAGTGTTGAAAACCAAACCTTCACTGAGAATAAAGGGAATCACGAAAGTGTTTGAATGAGCTTTGCCATCTAGCAGTAGTAGAATATGCGCTGTACTGATAGTGTACGAAAAACTGAGTTCAGCTCAGAAGTGTACTAGTCAAACGCATATTCAAAACTAATGAAAATTTGAACGTCATCTAGGTCTCTTAGGTTCTTAGCATACTTCAACAGCATGAATTCTTCTAAACTCTACAGCTCATAATTGCCGAAATAATCATTTAATCATTAAGGGATAGAGTTATATACTTCTGATAGCTATGAAGAACTCCATGATTGATCTTGTGTCAAGTAGAGGATTCATATTTCAGAGAAGTTTTGGGAAGGTTTGAGAGAGCCACCAATCACTTATGTTTCTTATAGTCATGAAAATAGTAATTATTTATGATGAACATCGGTTTTAAAGCAAGAAAACACCTGAATTGGTTGGTAGTAAACTGCAGTGAGTGTTATCTATACTTTGAAACATCTCAGCAATATTATGAACATTTTACATCTTCCAAGAACACCAGTATGAACATGTTGTTACTATGCCAGTGACGCGTAGCTCGAATACCAGAATTTTTTTCCACTTGAAGATATGTCATTTGTGTTTTTCTCTGTCATCTGTTAGCTTGAAAGCAGTGTTCTATTGTCAATTCTTCTATTTCCCGTTCGTCACCGGTAATTCACTTCTTACTTCGTTTTCCTTTCCCCCTATTTGGTGCTACCATTGTATTCTTTCTACACCTTCCGTTTCACACTACTCACTATAGTTGAGTAGTATGATTCATATTCTGCTACAATGTTACTTTATCCACAATCTTGACTGTTGATATTTGTCATAATCGTATTTGTTCATCATTTCAACTTACAAGGATGTTAATATCTCTGCCACTTTATGATTGTTCTGCGCTATCTTCAATTGTTTACCTGATCGCTCATCTTCCTGTGAACATTTATTTATCCTGTACATTTTACCTTATCCTGCGAATCATTCTTGATACTTACGACCGGTTTCCTTTAGATATAGCTTCGCTGTTATAGTATTGAAACACTTCCTATAAGGTGCTTTTGATTGCGATAAGCCCACAGATATCATGATTTGAGGTTCTTAGTCTATGAGTCACTGTTGTTCATCAGTACAGAATCATTATGTCGTTTTGGTGTCAAATGCTTGGTCTGTACTAAAGTTCCATCAGAATGTACTTCTCCCTCTCTGATCAGACATTTAAAATTGATCCATATGATGTTGTGTGATCCTAAGAGCTATCTGAGTTCTGTCGATCACTATGTAGTGCGTTCATCAGTTTAAAGACTCACTATCATAGTAAAACTTTATTGATCGCTTCAGTGCAAATGATATTTGGACTAGTTTGTTCAACGAAGATTGTGCGAACTGGTATTCAGTCTATCTTTACAATAGGTGTATACTTTTTTACCCTTTATAAAGCGGACAAGTAATAACAGTAAGCACATGATTCATCGCTGTAGAGGAAAGTGATTTTAACTAACTGTGAAGTTTTCATTTGCTTATGTTTCAACATATGAGTAACTTGAATGGTAAGCCGAATATTACATACGTAAAATGCTTTATGCAACGAACAAGTACTTGTGACACTACGAAAAACTTCAGTTGACTTAAAGTAGAAATATTGAAAATGACAGAATAGAGAAATTAAAGAGAAGGCAAGTATCACTCAAACGGAACACCAGTAAATAAGAATAATTTGAGCATCGGATGGTTGTCACACTAGTTTTGAAAGTGAGTTCAGTGTAGAATAAAACTGACTAACTAACAAATCAAACCGGCAGTAATAAAAACAGTTCTGAAATCATTCGTATGCTTAAATTCATAATCTTTCAGCTGCATAAACTTTTAATACATGACACTGGTTTATCAGCAGATCACAATACGTATTCTTGATTAGCGAGTGAGCAAGCGAAACCATATGAGTATCACTAAAAAAGGGTTGAAATATCACTCAGTTGCGGCTGATGACAACCACATCGATGCAACTTGTGAGGAGTAAGCAATGATTCTAACTAGCAAAACAGTTAACTGAAACCTAACTTACTAATGACGCGAAAATGTCTTTTTGATGTAGATGTATAGTGATTAAAGTTTCTAGTTTAGTCCGTTCCACTGGTGACAGGTTACGTGTAGTTTGTTGATTAACAGATTCAGTAGTCGGCCAAATTCATGATCAGTTTTTTGCATAATTTTTTTATTATATTTAGCTTCTTTCAGTGCATTAGTAGAATCTCTTGTCCATATAAACTGAATACCCAATAATCCACCTGAAAAAGAAAATGTATTATAGTGACACTTCGAAAAAATACTTTAACAGAATTTTCTTAAAAGCCTGTTACCTCAAATCTCTCTTTTTCTTATTCTATTTGAATCATAATTCAAAAATATCTTCACATTTTTAAGGCTTTCAAATATCTTAAACATGACAACTAGATAAATTATTCAATGTAAAGGTGGAAATTCTACTGTACTGGTCACTCAAATATCCCCTAGCTGAACTGTTTAGCACTGATCCAGTAAATTTGTGTCAGCAAAGACGCGCTACCACTAACCTTCGTCAACTGTTACTACTGAATTCTCACTCCTTCTTTCTATACGGTTATAAAGACAAGTTGGTCATAATGTTTATG